GGCCGGAAGATATATGAACCACGGCATCATGCCTTGGGCTCTGAGAACGCCCCCCAAAAAACAGACAAGAAAACATTGCAAAACACGGGTACGGGGAGTCCCCACACTACCTCCAACAATTTTTACAACCCACAATTGTGGGGAGGTCCGACTCGTGTACAGTACACTGTGGTTGTCCCTACAACATGGGAGGCACGAGCACCAAAACTGTTGCAGCGTCTGTCTGCGAGAGACTAGGTTGTCCCATTGCTTCAGCCTTACGAAGTTAATCAGGTCTTCACATTTTTTTGGAATACCGCAACCGGATTCACTCTCGTTACCCGATCGCGAGAAACTGAGAAGATATTTCAGTCATGGTACTATGGGATTTGAACACGCAGGCTCGAGCTGACTCCAAAAAAGGAACAGAGATCGAAGATTCAAACATGGGGGGGTTGAACCCCGGTGGCTTCCAGCGACTATACTACGCTTTCACTGGTTCATAATACGAGACCGGTGCACCCTGCGCCGTATCCGATTCTTTTTAACTCTACGAAGTTCACTAGGTTAGCATTCCCCTTGGGGTGGGCGCCCGAGATACCCGAACGAATCAACTTGACTGCCCAAGCTCAAGCGCTCAAGTATATGTTAGTCTGAACGAGTTTCCAGACGAGCCCAAAAATTCACGAACCCTCTTGGTCGAAGGCGTTGGATCGAAATCTGCCCGACTTCGCTTGGATACTCTGACACAGTGCTGAACGACAGAGGAAAAAAAGATGAGGCTCTACGACAAATATTCGGACACGGGGAATCGAACCCCGCTCTGCCTCCAACATGATTGCAAATTATTCTACAAGACGAGAGGTGGTCTACACCATCTCCGATTCCTTGCACTGTTAGAAACCTCACTAGGCGTAGTACTTTGCAACATTCTAGTTAGATTGTTCGCCAATGAACGCAATTGCAAGACGCCCGACGCCCCCACAATATTCAACCTCGCTAGTACGCCATTGACATTATGAGACTCTCCATTGCGCCTATCTCCGCGTTCACGAGTCGAATATTTCTGCGAGCTGGGCATCGCAAAAAAATGCAGTCCGACCACTCATTCGGACACGGGGAGTCGAACCCCGGTCTGCCTCACAATCTTCGTCCTGACATGTCTAAATGGGAGAGGCGGTGTACCATACACCATGCCCGATTCCTTTCACTCATTTGAAGCTCACTAGGTTCGCACTTTTGTTGGATCAGCCCACTCGGATATAGCAAAATATGGATGGAGCCCAGTGTTCAACCTCGCTTATGCTGCCATGGATAATTCCTCGAATATATTTGCCTCATACTTTCATAGATATTGGATGTGGGGTTTGAGCATATAGACTAATATCGGAGGAAAAACGAATACACCAAACATTCGGACACGGGGAGTCGAACCCCGGTCTGCCTCCAACATCATTGGAGATTAATATTCCTTTGCAAGACAAGAGGCGGTGTGCCATACACCATGTCCGATTCCTCATACTGTTACAAAGGCTGTAGTACCTTGCAACATTCCAGTTAGATTATTCAACAATGACCAATGAACGCAATTGCAAGACGCCCGATGCCCGTAAAGATTCAACCCTCACTAGTACGCCATTGATATTATGAGACTCCCTTTCCGCGTTCACAAGATTTCCGCGAGACGGGCATTACAAATCGAGAAAAAAAAAGAGCAGAAGAGATCTGATTCATTCGGACACGGGGAGTCGAACCCCGGTCTGCCTCCAACAACCTTTTTCTTGACATCTCTCATGTAGGGAGGCCGTGTACCATACACCATGTCCGATTCCTTTCACTTATCTGAAGCTCGCTAGGTAGCATTTTATTTTATTTTGGATCAGCCGACTTAGATCGAGTAATAAAACACGGCCGCGGACAGCCAACTTCCGAGACACCCGGAAAGATTCAGCCTGAATCCAACAATTCAAACCCCGGACGGCAGGTAAGAAGTAAGAGTCCATTACACAGAGTCCCGTGAACCCATTATACAATACTCGTACAGCTAAGTATCCATGTCCCAAACCAGCCGAATCCTACAGGCTAATCGAACAAGGACCCGCGATCGTCGAACGCAGACCCGCGATCCTTGAACCCGAACCCAGGATCGTCGAACCCGCGGCCGAACCCTGAATCGTCGAACCCGCTACCGAACCCGGGATGGCGCCTCACGCCCTGGGGGAAGTTGTCAGTCACTGGTTCGGATCAGAGCACCGTGCGGGGGTGGGTAAGTCAAACTATCATCGGGGAGGGGGACGAAGGAAGAAAGAACGCAGACCAAAGGAAGAAAGAATGAACACAGACAAAAAACACTCACATCAACGACAGCGTAACATCCCCATGCACCTTCGCCTTGATCTGCACGTCCACCTCCAGATTCAGATCCAGGCGCAGCTTCAGTGCTTCTTTTTTCTGTCCCCCGCCCCCTCCGAGTAGTCCACCGCCGCCGCCTGGGCTGAGGACGGAGCTGAGGGTGTTTGAGAGGATTTGGCCTGCCTGCTCGGGAAGTTGTTGTTGTTGTTGGGGAGCGGGCGCGGGTGGTTGTTGCGACTGCGATTGTGATGGGGCCGACGAAGAGGAGGACGCAGACTGCATTCTCCGCCGCCCGCGATCACGCCGCCGCGAGGACTGTGGCGGTTCTTGTGGTGGTTGTCGGGACTGTGAACGGGACGCAGGCGCAGGCGATGTCTCGCGCGAGAGCGGCAGTGTACTGTCCTGGGATGACATGATCAAAGCAGGTGTAGCGCAGGGTGTTGCGCAGTGAGTGTGGAGTGGAAGTGACAGACGATTATGGAAAGCCCGCGCTTTTAAGAGAATCGATGCGCGATGACGTAGGCCGTGTCATCGAGTCGCGTGGGACAAGCGTGGGAGGGAGGCTGTGCCATTCGCTGGGGTCGATCACTTTTATTGCGTCGATGTCGTGAGGTTATCTCTCAGGCTGGTGACTATTCATTTGGTTTCTTGTCATAGTCGGCTATTCCTTCGTCCTTCTTCATCCTACCAGTGACTCCTTGCGGGCATCTTGGGCCCCATGTTGCGCACTGTTCATATTTCCCAGTAAGCCGCATCGGGACTTCACAGTCTAATAAAATTGAGACCTTAATGCACTTGGTAGGAATGGAGGCAGTCGGACATGGTGTATGGTACACGGCCTCCCAACATATGCTAGATGATCTATTGGTGGAGGCAAACCGGGGTTCGACTCCCCGTGTCCGAAATTTGCGGAAACTGCGGAACTCTTTTTTGGCCATATTTAACTTGCGATTTCCTCCCCCCGGCCGGCACAGTGGGGAAAAACAGCTCTGGTGTTGGATTATTTCGCGTCCCTGCGTCCTTTGTTCGTGGTTTTGTATCTATACTGTAGACTCCGGTTCAGACGTTCCAAAAGATTAATTGCACAGTGACCTTCGTAGGGATGCGAGGCATCGGACATGGTGTATGGTACACGGACTCCCCACATAGAAGGTGACTAACAAGATTGTCAGAGGCAGACCGGGGTTCGACTCCCCGTGTCCGAATAACGCTGATGGCGTCGTTTTTTCCCCCCTCGTTTGTTCAGCCTGTGTCAAAGGATCCAAGGAAAATCGGTGTGAATTTTGATCCATCCTTTTTCGACCGAGCTCAGACCACGCCTCGTTGTGAGTTCCGTTCATAACTTACTCGACCTTAGGGAGTAGAGTTGGATCGTTCGGGTATCTCGGGCGCCAACCCCAAGGGGAATGCTAACCTAGTGAACTTCGTAGAGTTAAAAGAATCGGATACGGCGCAGGGTGCACCGGTCTCGTATTATAAACCAGTGAAAGCGTAGTATAGTCCCTGGAAGCCACCGGGGTTCAACCCCCCCATGTTTGAATCTTCGATCTCTGTTCTTTTTTTTTTTGGCTGCAGCCTGGGTCTGCGTGTTCAAATCCCATAGTACCACGACTGAAATATCTTCTCAGTTTCTCGCGATCGGGTAACGAGAGTGAATCCGGTTGCGGTATTCCAAAAACATGTGAAGACCTGATTAACAACTTCGTAAGGCTGAAGCAATGGGATAACCTAGTCTCTCGCAGACAGACGCTACAACAGTTTTGGTGCTCGTGCCTCGCATGTTGTAGGGACAACCACAGTGTACTGTACACGAGTCGGACCTCCCCACAATTGTGGGTTGTAAAATTGTTGGAGGTAGTGTGGGGACTCCCCGTACTCGTGTTTTGCAATGTTTTCTTGTCTGTTTTTTGGGGGGCGTGCTCAGAGCCCAAGGCATGGTGCCGTGGTTTATATATCTTCCGGCCATCTCGGACAATCTGTGTTGGGATGTTTTCAAAAAAAAATCGAGAATATGGCGAGCTTTGGAAGAGAATGGTTCGGGCATGGTGTACGGTATACGGCCTCTCATCTTGTTCTAGGAACACAGTTCCTGGAGGCAGACCGGGGTTCGACTCCCCGTGTCCGAATGGTCGATGATATTGCTTTTTTTTTTTTGTAATGCCCGGCTCGCAGAAATCTCCGCCTGCGGAAAAAAAAATTCAATGCGTTCATAATGGTATACTAGTGAGGTTGAATATTTTGGGGCCATCCGGTGTCTTGCAATTGCGTTCATTGGTGAATGGTCTAACTGGAAACATAATGTTGCAAAGTGCTACGGCCTAGTGAGGTTTCTAACAGTACGAGGCTTCTAATAGTACGAGAAATCGGACATGGTGTATGGTACACCGCCTTTCGTCTGATGGAAGAACTGCCACTTGTTGGAGGCAGCGCGGGGTTCGACTCCCCATGTCCGAGTGGTTGCCTACTCTGCTTTTTCTTTTTGTCAGGCTCAGCTCGTGGCAATCTCCGCCTGTTGGACGCGGAGCGCGGTCTCACAATGGTGTCATAGTGAGTCTGAATACTTGTGGGCAAGAATCTTAGGCATGCTGCGCACTGACCATATTTGTCTGAGCCGCACGGGACTTTGCAGAAAATTGAGATTCTAATGTACTTCGTAGAGGTGAAAGCAATCGGACATGGTGTATGGTACACGGCCTCCCCACATAGAAGGGGACTGACCAGATTGTCGGAGGCAAACCGGGGTTCGACTCCCCGTGTCCGAATAGCCGCCGATTCGGTGTTTTTTTTTTGGTGATGCCCGTCTCGCGGAAATCTCTCCCCTTTTTGAACCCGGAAAAAGGTTCAATGGAGAGTCTCATAATATCAATGGCGTACTAGCGAAGCTGAAGATTTTGGGGGCATCGGGCGTCCGTTTATTGGTGAATAATCTAACTGGAATCATGATGTTGCAAGGTGCTACGGCCTAGTGAGGTTTCTAACAGTACGAGGTTTCTAATAGTGCGAGGAATCGGACATGGCGTATGGTACTCCGCCTCTCGTCTTGTGGAAGACTTGCCATTTGTTGGAGGCAGCGCGGGTTCGACTCCCCATGTCCGAATAACATGTTGGCCCACGACTTTTTTGCGTGTTTTTTTATTTCATTTCGGTGCTTTATTGGACAGTCAGTGACTCGTGGCAACGTCCACAATATATTTTCCAGCCACCCTCGACGTTCGATCGCGATATCCGGTTGAGTACAAGATTGATCCGTGGCTGTGCTTATAGGTTCCCACGGTTTCAAAAAACAAGGCAACGATGTACTCGCCTTCAAATGCTCTCACAAAGTAAAATTGAACTACCTATGATGCACGCTACAATATAATCACGTCCATCATGGCTTCCATAACCAGTTCCCAAAGCGAACGGGAACTAGAGGCTGTAACCATGGCTGTGTGTTGATAGATCGCTGATCGAAGCTTGTCATTAAGTCAATAAGTATCAAGATGAGCGGGGAAGGCTGTGCCTCTACCTTCATTCATTCCCCCCCCATGAGCGCCTCAGCTCCGAGCTTGGGAAGGGTCTCCCCTGCACTACCTGGTTCAGTTTTCCGGGATAGCTTGGAACGATACATGCAGAACCTTGACCCTCCGGATGCAGATTGGCTTGGCAGGATAACGAAGATGTCATGGGAGCCTGTGGTCGCCCAACTCGAAGCTCTCAATAGAAGTCATAAAGATAGCAGCATAACCCGAAGGCTTCTCAGTCGTGTCCGATGCTTTGCAGATGCCCTTCGTCCATTCTTTGGATGCATGGATATGGTATTTTCTTCTGGTGGATCAATTATTGGAGTTGTTTGGGGTGCACTGAGGCTTGTAATTGAGGTGAGCCAGAAAGGATATCTCCTCCATATGTATAAACAACTCAAAAACAAATTGTTCAGATTACCCACAAGTTCACTGAGTATTTTTCAATCATAAGTGACACCCTTGAAACTATATCAGTCGAACTTCCGATTTTCCAAGACTATGTTGAAAAATTGTACCCGCAATCAAACACTGTCCAGAAGGTTGTCTAGCTTTGCAAACGAGAACCATATCTTGATGTTCATTTAGGCTGTGGTTGTTATCTTTGAAGACATTCTGTCAGTCTTCCTTATCGTCAGGAAGGTTTTTGTTGATTCCGATGGTCACACCCGATGTATGTGCTCCCGCCGCTCGGAGATATTTTAACTAAAACCCATTGGACTCAATCCAGCGTTATTTGGCACATCAGTCAAAATTTTCCGTCGAGACATGGAGGAAATTACAGCACATCTAGAAAAACATCGGAATACTGTCCAGGTCCACGTTGACCATGCTGAACGAATGGCAAACAGGGAAGAACGAGAAAAATCCTCGCAATCTCGAAGAAGGCTGGAGGCCAAGATACTCACTGATGAGAAGAGAGCATCAGAAATCACATTTTGTAAGTAAGTTCATCTTGAAAAATCAATCTGATGTCGGGATTAGACCAAAGAATTGAGAAGTTTCAAGCTCTTTTGGATGCCCCAAAGTGTTGGGAAAGACATGCAGCCTCACTTCAAATTTACAAACAACCCCGGTGCTGGCTTTTAGATAATGCACAGTACACAGAGTGGTGTGATAAGAGGTGTGGACTTCTTTGGTGTCATAGCAAACGTAAGTGTCAAATTGATGATAATATAAGCCTAATATTTCTTTAGCTGGTGCTGGAAAGACAGTCTTGAGGTAGAATATCCACTGGCCAACACACAATAAACTGAACATTGGAATAGCTCAGTTATTGTGAATGATTTACAGCAAAATATCGCCAAGATCCTGATATTCCCGTTGTGTTCTTCTACTGTGAATACGATGACCCAGCCAAGAGACTGACAAGCAAAATCATGGCCTCCATTTTGGACCAGCTCATGTATAACCCTCAAGTCTTGGCCTTGGTTAAAGAGACCTGGATGAATCAGAGTCCAAACCTGCAACATCTGGGTCTCGAGAATCTACAGGATCTGATTATACAGCTTCTCCAGCAATCTCAGCATGCATTTATCATTGTTGATGCACTCGATGAGTGTGATAACCCGGAGGAGGTTGCCAAAATTCTATTATGCTTGGCTGCATACTGCTGTGTTCTGGTCACGAGCCGAAGTGAAACAGAAGATATCACTCCATTTCTTGAACACCATCCTCAAATCCATATCACATCTGAAAGTCTTCAAGCTGATATTGAATACTTTGTTTCTTCATCCCTTGAAAGGCACCGACGCATATCAAAACGGTCGCCACATATTAAACAGCACATTGCTAAAGTGCTTCTATCAGCAGCAGATGGGATGCAAGTCCACTCTATCCTTATTCTATTATTGGCTCTCTAACTTTCAGTTTAAAGGTTCCTGTGGGTGACTTTAATGATTGAGCTCTTGGCCAATCAAGTGACCGACCATGGAATCATTTCTGCATTAATGCAACTTCCAATTGGACTGACTGCAACCTATCACCGGATCTTGACAAAGATTGACGAGTTGCCTTCAAGAACATGGTGTATGCGGGCAATTACATGGCTTATGTGCGCCAGAAGACCGCTGGACTATCTGAGCTCATGAATGGCATTGCCATAGACGATATGGATAACTCAATTGGTGGGATATCACCAAAGTTCCGGATAATCCCTCCGAGGTGATTTTTGACTGTAAAGGTCTCATCTCCTGTACTCCCACTCCTCACGGGCTCATGGTGCAATTTACTCATACCTCTGTTCGGGATTTCCTCTTGACAAATCCTCTTGAAATAGTCCCTACCATTCCAGCATATCATATATTTCCCCGTAGCAAAGGACATGCCCTGCTTGCCAAATCATGTCTGAGTTATCTGGCTCTTGCCTGCAGAACAAAGTCCAATTCATTGGATGATCCTCGTTATTGCATGACCCTCATTTGAACCTCTTCACCTATGTCAAAAGTTATTGGAACACACACATTCAAGAATCACAGAACCCCGAGCTGCTCACAACATTCGATCAAGTCATCTCTGATCCAGATGTTTTAGAAAGCTTTGGGGGAGGCTCTACATTGCATGTTGCTCTGAAGTACAACTTGTCATTCATTGTTGAACATTTTCTCAACGCACAAATTGATTTGACAGTCCTTGATGTGCATTGTAACACTCCTCTCCACTTGGCAATCATAAATCCAACCTGGGTTCAGCTTCTCCTCACCCAAAACCCAGACATACATGCAAAAAATGTACATGGAATGACCCCTTTGCATATGGCCACGAACATGCCTCATCTTCCTGGGGGGAAAGCCGGGCTGTTGACTAACTTGGCCAAGTCTGTTACTATGCTGATAAGAAATGGTGCAAATATCACAATAAAGGATGTCAAAGGTCGCACGCCACTCCATCTTGCTGCTGGCTCAGGGCAACTTGAGAGCATGACTTGCTTGATTGCGAATAAGGCCAAGATCATGGCTGTTGACAAGACTGGCCTCACCCCATTACATTATGCTGCTGAAAGTGGTGAAGTCAGAGGAGTTCAGATTCTTCTTGATTCTGGTGCAGACATAAATTCCAAGGATTATAATCTTTTGACACCAACTCATTTTGTGTCTCGTCTCGGTCATCTTCAAATAATGCAGGTTATGATTGAGAAAGGCGCAGCTTTGGAAGCACATTGTCGTGATGGAATGACACCTCTTCATTATGCTGTTATACATGGGAACTCCGAAGTGGTGAAACTGCTTCTGAACCAAGGTGCAAATGTTAATTGCACTGACTCAGATAGATCAACCCCACTGCATTATGCAACTGCAGAGGGAAACCTGGAGATTGTCACAAGCCTAATCTCTCACGGTGCTCTGCTTGACATAGTAGATGATGAAGACATGTTCCCAATACATCACGCAGCAGAATACGGGCATTATCAGGTTATCAAGGCCCTCATTGATTCCGGTGATAACATTGACAGCAAGACCTCGCTTGGCTTGACTCCCCTTTCTTATGCTGCGAAACATGAGCAACGGGAAACAGTCATGTTCCTAATTGAACATGGGGCGGATACAGCCACTGTTGTTACTGATGAGTTAACACCATTACATTTCGCAGTTCAAAAAGGAGAATTGGAAACTATAATCCTTCTTGTCCGGCATGGTGCAAATGTTAATGTTTCTACGATCAACCAGTGGACTCCTCTGCACTTTGCTTCAGCAAATGGGCAACTCGAAATTGTTATCACTCTTTATCAGCTGGGGGCAAACATTGATTTATTGAATGAAAACCAAAGCACTGCACTCCATCTTGCTGCTTGGCATGGCTACCTCGACATTTGCGAGTACCTGATTGGGAAAATGTCCAACATCAAAGAATCCACAAATGAATATGCACCTATCCACCTTGCAGCTTGGCAGGGAAAGGTCGAGTCTTGGAATTTCTCATAATGCATGGGACAGATGTGAATTTAAGGAATACACAGGGATGGACACCACTTCATTTGGCAGCATGGACTGGGAGTACAGAGGCTGTTAAAATTCTCGTGGAAAGCAAGGCCCAGATACAAGCCGTTAGCGTGAATGACCACTGGACAGCTCTACATTTGGCCGCGTGGAGAGGAAATGTCGACATTCTCCAGTTTCTCCTCCAAGCGGGTGCTGACATCAATAGATGTTGCAAGAATGGTGTAACACCGCTCAGGCTCGCAATCCAAAATCGTCAGCTCATTGCAGCAGGTTTCCTACTGGACGAAATTGAAGGAAACATCGAAATTGGAATACATGTTG